AGTATACAGTCTATTTAATACATTTGTAGACTCGAACTTGGTTTTATTGTTCCTTCCGTTTTCCTTCCTTCCTTCTTATCTTTCTAATATTTCCACTTATGCAATTCTCCGGCTTCTGAAGTAAGCCCATAGACTCAACTCTTTACAGGACCTGAGACCTAGAAGTCCTTAACCCTTTTTCCAGACTTCCCTACCCTCCTGAACTCGCGAGGGCGAACCAGCCAATTCAGACTAGTGGGACCAGTAAGCCTTGCCTCCGCTCGCAGGGATAAGCATCCTTTAAAGTTTAAGCCGAGGATGTTATAGGGGTTACAGTAATTTTACCCCGCTAATATTTCAATGGCGACAGTGGATTAACCCCGTTAGTATTACATTGACAACAGCGGTGTTCCCGGCCATTACATCTTATTTTAAATATAACTTCAGTACTGTTATTTTATCAAATCCATAAAAATGCTGTATCTGGACTCGCCCTAATACTTGTAATGGTCATATATAGAGATAATATAATTGTTTTTACATTGTTAAAGCGATATTTCCTAATGATTTCGTATATTAAAATTGCCATTTTGAAATAAACAAATTATATCCGTGTCCTAAAGACATACATTCGACATTCACATCTTTGAAACTTAATATTAATATAAAAAACCAATTGTACAAATAAAATATCAACAGTTTAAATGTTAACTACATGGCACAGTTCTAAACAAAACTTTTCATTCTTGAAATATTTACTAAACATTAGGAAAAGTGTACAGTTTTCAGTAAACTACCAGTTCAATATAATATAATAATTTAGAGTCTTTCAGACTTACAAATAATGAAGTGGAATGTTGATAATTTAAATGTTTGTTAAATTTATGCTGTAAATCACTCAAGATGTACAGAATTGTCAGTACAGTACACGAAATTGGTTTTAAAAAATTAAAAGGGAAAATTCCAATGGTCGATTGCATACCGTAGTTTAAGAAAATGGTTGATACAGCCAGAGTTGGCTGGTGCCAATCATAGAATTCGCTTCTTTTTTCCAGCAGTGTACGTTCCCTTAAAGTGAAATCTTATACCATTGTCCTCTTGTCTGTGGCGCACTCAGGGTGGTTTTGGGGGTTAAAACCCTCCCAAAGCATATAAAGTAACTTGTAACTTGTTTTTCACACACAATACAAAAAATCCAAAAAGCTAATTGAATAATTAAATTACCACTTTATTTAAAGTGGTAAAGTACTTTAAATATATAGAACACAATAGTAATTGTATATATACACAATATAGGCTTATGACAAAAGTAGACAGAACGAGTCTACAGAATATGGATTTACAAGTTGGGTTAATGTAAAACGTCAATAAACTTATTTTAAGTTTAAATTGTGGTTTATTCACATTAAAATGGTAATTACTTTAAAATGCCACAAGAAAATAGCTTCAGAACAATAGATAAGATCTAGATAAGAGAAGGGAGTGTTCCAAAAATGTCGTCAGTCTTACAGCGGCCACCTCACTTTCGGAGTACAGTATGTGCAATAGTCAACTGGGCACAAGTAAGAGGAGAATCTTTAAGCTCTTCATAACAAAGTTGCTCGCTTTAATCTTGAGCACAGCCGTCCTTGGTAGAATACAATGAAGAGACTGATCGTATTACCAAGTACCATTGATATAATTACTGTCTCGCCTGAGGTATGCAGAAAAGAAAAAGGTCACTATATGCGACATTAATGTTTTTAATGAAGAGTGACATATAGAAGGCCTTGTGAGGGGGTAAATTTACCCTTATTGAACCAGAGCTGTGACTAAATGCTTCCTTTTGTCGTCTGATTTACAGCCAGTAGAAGAGTGAATCTTCTTCTTCTTTGTCAACCATTTTCCATCCACTCCTGAATGTAAGTCTCTCCCAATTGCTCTAATCCACTGTTTGCCTGCCACTGCTCTTATGTCATCTTCCCATCTTTTTTGAGGTCTTCCCATGCTTCTTGTTGTCGTCCTTGGTCTCCATTCTAGAATTCTCCGTGTCCACCTGTTGTCATTATATCGGGCTACGTGACCTGCCCAGCGCCATTTCATTTTTGTAATTTCTTTCCACAATATCCCTAATCTTCGTTCTACGTCTTATCTCGGTGTTTCTAATCTTTTCTTTCAGTGATATTCCAAGCATGATTCGTTCCATTGCTCTTTGCGTTGTTTCTAATTTTTTAGCAGATTTTTTGGTAAGGGCTACTGTCTCCAAGCCGTAGGTACAAACTGGTAGTATGCATGTGTTATACGCCTTTCTCTTTAGGTTTATAGTTTGCCGAAAGCACACCATGCCATTTGTGTTCTTCTTTTAATTTCAGCATCTTGATTTGGTTTTCCTATTTTGATAACATCACCTAGATAAACATAATGTTCAACATTTTCTATGCTATGATTTTGTATTGTTACATTTGTCTGCTCTTGGCTCAGTATTTTTGTTTTGCTGTAGTTCATTTTTAAGCCTACCGCTCCTGAAACTGCATTTAATTGTTGTAACATATCATTTAGTTCTTGGATATTATCGGCTATTAAAACTGTGTCATCTGCGAATCTCTAGTGGTTTAAGTATGATCCGTCGACGTTGCTACCCTTATTGTTCCATTCCAGATTCTTAAAAATATCTCCTAGAGCAAGGGTAAATAGTTTGGGAGAGATGGTGTCTCCTTGTCTTACTCCCCGTTGTAGTCTTATGGGATTAGTTTTTGTGCTTTCGTCCAGCTTTATATGCATGGTGGCATTTTCATATATGTTTTTAATTATGTTAGTGTATCTTGAATCTATGCGGGCATTTTCTAGAGATTCAAGCACTGCCCATAATTCGATGGAATCGAATGCTTTAGGGAAATCGACGAACGCCATATGAATTGGAACATTTCATATGGCGTGGAAGAGTGAATACCGAAACATAAAGGATTTGTCGATACGAGGGATACGTGAGATACGATACAAATTTGTAATAAAAACCATCTCCCTAGTGTGATTTGTGAGGATTACTAATCTCTAAGTGAAACCTTAAATTATCACAACAATATTTATTTCATAAAATCCAGGGGGCGTTTCAACATCACTGTCATCATCAGTTTCATGATGACAGTGATGAATACAGAAAGAAAACGAAAAGAAAGAGAGAAAACGAATATATTTAATCTTTCGGAGGATAAAATCACTAGCACTTAAAAAAGATTAAAACATTATTTTAACTATTTTCTAATTTCGTTAATAAATTCAATGATCTATTGATTAATTGTGAAATAACTCTCATAAAAACAATAACAAAATACCTTGAAATACAGTAAAATTACAGTAAAATATATAATCCTTTGATATTCTTACTTCACAAATTCACGAACAGCAAATAATACCAATCGCACGGAATGAATGTTCATAACCAACAGTCCTTATTTATTCTTCAAACAATTAAAAAAAAACCAATATTTCCAATTTCTTATGGGACAAATACACACAAATTAGAAATGTTTGGAAAGGTTTTTAAAACCGCCGCCCAATGTAACATTAGAGCTTAGGTAGTCCAGTGAGAAAATGCCTGGGATGCCAACGTCATACGGAACGTTTCAAATTACTATTTAAAACTATTTAATAGTAGGTTATTAAATAGCCACTTTACCAGTTTTCTATAAGTTAATTTTTAATTAATCCAACGTACACTTTCCATCAACACATGATTTAAGCAACTTTCCAACAGAGGTTTCATCAAAACTATTTGTCGAATAAGAAGCAACCATTGTATGATTCCAGTGTACAAACGAAAAAGTAGAACTAGAAACAAAAAATGAAGAATGTATATGTGGTGGCAGCTTGCTCTTTACATTTATAATAGAAATCATAACTATTTTTATAACGACCAATGCAAGTTTCCAGTAAAATTTTCAATATACCTTCCTAAACTAATCAACCACCCAAAATACATATTCCACTGACTCAAGCAATCACCCCCCAAAAACCAAACGAACGTCAACCAATAAACCCCCACCCTCACATTGCCCCCACCCCCCCCCCTACCCCCCCCCCCCTTCCTCCCCCCCCCACTCTCCCCGACCCACCCCCCCAACTGAAAACCACCGCCTCACACCCCCCACCGCGTATACGCAACGTTGAAACATGACAACTCTACTACCACCCCCCCACCACCACCCACCCCCCGCCCTCACCCCCACCCCCACCCCTCTACCCCCACGACCAAACACCCCCAACCCCATAGTCAACCCATCCCCATGACCTTAAAACCCATACCCCCACCCCCACAATAATTGACCCGCTCTCCAACCCCCCCCAAGCCAGGACCGGTGGTGAACTAACCCCTCTCATCCCAACCCCCCCCCCCCCAACCCCACCACCCATTACAACAAAGCAAAAAAACCCACACCACAACTAAATTAAAACCCCATATATTTAACAATCTCCAACGACGTCCTAGACAAACACCCCACCCCCCACATCTCCCCCCCATTGTGAAAAACCTTGATCCCATATCAAATCCCCATAACAAACCATGATCTCGTTAACTTAGAGCAAATCATACAATCAGACTCAAGGTCTTATGATCTAACTAAGGCTAGTTACTAAAAGCTGTTGATCATAGAATGTTATTCTAGAAACCTTGTGAACATCTCCTTGTACCGATTACTTTTAAACTGGCTGTATGATACACAATACAAACAATTGCAGTTGGTTGACCATTAATATAGATAAGATAATGGAGACAGACTGGACTATAATTTTTAATAGTACATTTGTAAATGTTCAGTTATCAGTATTTAACGCTAAAAACGACAACAATAAAGTCTTTTACAGTTTCAACGAATATTATAGACTCAAAGCTTAAGCTTTTAAACCATATCACAGCATAAATTATTATTTTTCAAACCTCTTTCGCCAAATCTAAAACTTTTAACACACACTGGTAATTTACTGAACATCATTCAGTACTCTCTTTTTCCAGGTATCAACTCTTGTTAACTATTATTAAGCTCTTAGTTATGATCCGCTCTTTTACCATTCATATACCCAATCCACCTTTCGGCAGTTACTTTATAAAGCGGCTCATTTTCAATAGTGCTTAGTAACAAAAGTTGATTAACATGGGTAGCGTGGTAGTCCCACCTGGCCAAATTTGGCGCAGTACTGATCGTGAAGTGTCTTAAGTCATACGAAGTAACGCTGCCCATATCGAACAAGGGTAACATATTTTTTAGAGAAATCATACCTTCATTATACAAAATTTCGGCTTCCTGTGCTTCTCTGTGAGGTGCTATGGTTATCAAATCATACAAACCTAAGAGAGAATAAATGAAACCGTTGAGTACAAAAGATGCTGGTTCGGTGGGGTATTCCTCGTACCAGTTGTAGGTATTAAGAAACGTTGCTCGGACTCCTCCTTGGGAATTGGGCACTCGGAAAGGTTTGAGGCCTCTCAGAGCGGCTGTTAGGTATCTAATGTCGCCCCCGGAATGGTAGTAAGCTCTAGACAACACTGATAATGCGTGGCCTTGCCCCATTGATGAATACCAACCTAAACAATCATTTATATTACTTAACTAATAATTACTTTAGTGATTTAATGTCTATTTTGTATTTTGTCATTTATAATTGTATGACATCAATATCAAAACCTCTTAAGATTTATTAACCATTAAATCAATAAAAGAAAAGCCTTAAAAAATCTTTAGTTTGCCACTGCTACCCATATAGTGACAAATAAAAAATTACTATACACTTATATCAAAATGTGATTCAATAAAGGTTGGAAGAATTTTTATATCAAAGTTTAGGTGAAAATAAAAGATATTTTATTTAATGGAGATAAACTAAAATTTTATTTATAGAATTTATAATTTATTTGAAAATAGATATTATTATACTCGGTTCGCTATTCACAGTCCGAACTGTCTAGTGAATTTAGTAATTATTTTTTTGCTAAGGTAGTTACTTTTTGACAGACTAAAAGTGGCTGGAAATTACTATACAACCAAGAACACGTACTCATAGCCAATATTAATAGTAAACAAACTAAATAGTGAATAAAATAGAACTTTGCGAATTACCGACAATCAATATTTATTTATCTGCACCATATAATAAATAGTTATGTTAAATTATAACAACTAAAATATATTTTTTAAATATATACTACAAAAAATTTGATGAGTTTAGTATACACTTCCACTATTTAGAATAATTCTTCTTTTTTCAAAGAAAGAAGTCTGCAATAGTAGTATACTTGAGCTATTAATACTGAGAAGTAGGAATTGTTGTGTTGTAGGTTTCCAACAATGAATCTGTCAAAATATGCCCGAGCTAAGCTAATGGAGTATAATGACTCCATTATAGCTGATATATTTAGTCTTGTTCTAGTTGCCAATGTATCATCATTATCTAATTTTGTTTTGATTATTTTTAAAGCTGTTATATACTTGGCAACACAGGTAGGCAACACCGCTCACTGACACAAGGGAATGAAGTTAGTTAGTTATTAGGCAATAAAGGTTAATGATGTAAAACCACGTTGTATTATTATTACCTTATTTAAGTAAGAAATACCAAATACACAACAATTGGCGACGAGGATGGGATACACACATAAATTTTGCTTTGAAAGAGTACATGCTGACTATGCTGGACCTTTTAACGGAGGCTATTACTTCATTTTAGTCGATTCTTTTAGTAAGTGGCCTGAAATACATTTCACGAAAGACACTACTACAAAAACTACAATCGAAATTTGTAGGAAAATCTTCACTACTTTCGGAATACCCACAGTATTTGTTACTGATAATGGTAGACAATTTGATTCTCATGAATTTAGAGAATTTATGAAGAATAATGGTATCACACATAAATTTACTGCACCCTATCACCCAGCCACGAATGGCCAGGGGGAGAGATATGTCCAAACACTAAAAAATTGTCTGCGAGCCATGCACAGTGAAGAGAAAGACAGAGAACTTGAATTGTGCAAGTTACTAATGCAGTATCGTAGAACACCTCACACAGTAACTTTCAAAAGCCCGTCTGAACGTATGCTAGGAAGGCAGATTAGAAATAGATTAGATTTACTTAAACCTTTTACTCATGACAAAAATGCTTACACAGACCAGAGTCTTAGAAATGTTGCTATAGATACCAAATTCTCAGTGCGAGATTACTTTAATGCCAAATGGCAATTTGGCAAGGTTATACTAAGGTTAGGATTATTACATTATTTAGTTGAGTTAGATGATGGTAGGACGTGGAGACGTCATATTGACCAAATTAGAGTAATTGGGCAGGATACACCTATAGAATATAACCCAACTTGTTTCATTCCTGATACAGTTACACATAGTATAGTTCCAAGGGAGGTATCTGTCCCTGAACCCAATTCCGTTTCACCACCTACAAATGTACAAGAACTTCTAAATGATACAATAGAGCCAACAGTACCTGAGGCTCACACTGAAGCTGAACCAGTGTTAAGACGTTCAAGTAGAGTATGTAAACCTGTTCAGAGGATGAATTTGTAAGTACATCTTTATTTCAATCTGTATTTATGAATTTTGGTCAAGAGAGGAGGTGTTATATACTTGGCAACACAGGTAGGCAACACCGCTCACTGACACAAGGGAGCGAAGTTAGTTAGTTATTAGGCAATAAAGGTTAATGATGTAAAACCACGTTGTATTATTATTACCTTATTTAAGTAAGAAATACCAAATACACAACAAAAGCCTTAACCTATTTGTGTTCAAACTTACTAAAATATTATTTTAATTAAATTCAATATTCGATAATTTATTTAAAAAATGTTGTGTATTTTTTATAAATGTGTCATTTTTCATGTGTCATATGACAGTTCACTACAAGGAGAATTCATGGTACTACAATAGGCCTAAGTGGTGTTTTTGCTTTATGAATTTTCGGTACAATATAAAAATGAAGTATCTCCATTGTTAAAATAATGAAAAATGGGTCATTTTTGCACCCACTTTACTTTTTTAACTGCTGCGGTAATTCAAGTTTTTATGAACGTTTTTTACAATTTTTTTTCTACGAGGTTGAAGAGAACAGCTTTCATTTAAAACTTGCTAAATTATATTTGACCATTAGTATATTTAAATAATTATATAAAAAGAACCTATCCTTACTTTTAGTTTAATTCCCGTTAAATAAAGTAGATACATACCAGGCTCCAGGTCTTGAAAGCCGGCGGCTAATTTCCGTTTGACGGGAATGGCCCATCCGCCGGTTTCAACGTCTTGGTGTCTAACGAACCATTCAGCGGCATCATAAAACTGCTGGATGTGCTCCGAAGAGGAGAGTGTAAGATTGTCGATAGCTCCCGAACCTCTCAGCGTTATATCGATGACTTTCATTTTGGATCTGGATAGTTTGGGTTTCGATTTGTCTTTGTCCAAATACGCGAGACCTTTGTGAAGATCTATGATCAAATCTCGGGTCATTTTCTTCCAGCTCGGGCTTGTTCCGATACCGTGGTAAATGTTATTATCCTAAAATAAGTTTATGTAAAATAATATAATGTAACAGTGATTCAAGCATATTATTATTATTATTATCATTATTATATAACAAATAAGGGCAGAGGAGCGAGCTCCTATTATGCCCAAAAAGCAAAAATAAAATAGATCCTTATAAAACTAATACTAATTATAAAGTTAAGTAGTTAAACAATTAACGAAAATTGAATTGTGACACAATAAATAAATAAATAATGCTGTCCGAGAAAAAATATCCTATCCTATAAAAAAAATAAAGTGCTATCAAGTTTATTTTTAAAGATGTTAACACTAGCTGCCGATATGGTGACTTGATCCAAATTGTTCCAGATATTAAAGATTCTGTTTGGCAAGAAGTTCGCCCTGGACCTTGCAGTAGTTTGTTCCCTCTTTAATTTGTATCGATGGCCTCTTAATCTATCGTCTTCATTCAAAGTGAATATGTTGTTTAGGTTCCCAAAATTATGTTTTAAAATACGGAAGGACATAATTAGGTCACCTCGAAGACGTCGCTGCTCGAATGTCGTAAGATGAGCCATAGTCTATCTTCATAGTTAGGTCTTACACGGCCGTATGCCAGTCTTGTGGCTTTACGCTGAACGTTTTCAAGTAGGATTTTATCGCGACTAAGATCTGGATTCCACACTGGTCCGGCAAACTCAAGAATAGGTCTAACGTATATTGAGTAAAGTTTACTAACAGAGGTTAGAGATATGCGTGCAAAACATTTACGAATCAAAAACAGTTTCGAGTTAGCACGTTTACACACCGACACTATGTGATCAGACCAATTTAAGTCACTATTAATTATCACTCTGAGATCGTTGTGTGAGGTTACAGAGTTTAAAGGATGTCCATTAATAAAGTACGGAAGTGATGGGTTATTTTTGCCGATATGTAAAACAACGCATTTTTCAATGTTAAGCGGAAGTAACCATTCTGAGGACCATTTGATATTGCGTCAAGATCTGTTGAAGATATGTTGGTTAATAGTTGGATTCACATATAACTTAGTGTCATCAGCGTAAATGGAAACCTTACTGGATACAATGAGCGGAAGATCACTAGTGTAGACACAAAAAAGTAGCGGTCCAAGTACTGATCCTTGTGGAACTCCACTCTTGACTGGCTTATCTAATGAGTGGTCTTCCCCAACACGAACCCTGAAGTATCTGTCGGATAGAAAATCTTGTATCCAAATGTTTAATTTTCCGCGGATACCATAGTGATCCAATTTAGCTAGTAATCGACGTTTTGGAACACGATCGAAAGCTTTGGAGAAGTCTAAGTAAACTACATCGACAGGATTCCGATTGTTTAAAGATAATGACCAATCATTTACACAATGAAGTAAGTTTGTGATCGTTGAACGACCTTTGATAAATCCATGCTGTTGGTGAGGGATGACATTTTCTTGAAGAAGGAACTCGGACATAGCTTCCGAAATAATCGATTCCATGACCTTGCTGACAATAGGAACCAGGCTGATTGGACGATAATTATTGCAATCAAGTTTATTACCTTTCTTGAATACAGGAGTAACTGAAGCCAATTTCCAGGACGAGGGGAGGGAACCTTGATTAAAAGAAGCAGTCATTATGAGAGATATAGGGATGGCTACAGAATCTGCACATTGTTTGAGGAAAAAAGAGGTGAGTCCGTCTAATCCAGGTGATGAATTATTTCGCAGTTTCCTTAAATGATGTTTAATTTCATCCGGTATGAAAGATATATTGTCAAGAGTTTTAGACAAACGAGGGCACATTATTTGAGGAATGGTATCGTTAGATTCATCTGTAAAAACTTGAGAAAAGAATAACGATAAACATTCCGAAGATTCGTTATTCGAAGAACATAAAGACCCATCAGCTTTTTGAAGCAATGGTATGGAGACTTTAGAAGATAAAGATGTACGAATGTACCGATAAACTTTTTTACTATTACCACTTGCAATGATAGATTCCTCAAATTCTGTTCTTAACTTTAGCAAAGATTGTTTGACTCAGTTAGAAAAATTACGGTGGACGAGAAAATCATCAGGGGAACCAGTGAGTTTATATCTTCGACAAAGCTTTCGCTTATGTCGAATTAAATGAGTAGCTGAGAGGTTAATCCAAGGTTTTAGTCGATTTCTATATACCTGCCGTTCGGTTGTATGATCAGAAATTGTTGTAATAGCAGTATGAAGAAAAGAGGCCCACATTGACGATGGATCAGAGTGATTAGGAAAAATAGATTGCCAGTTTATCTGGGATAAAACTGAATTTACATCAAAGAAATTAGTAGTGGCATACGTTACGAAATTATTTTTGCAAGGCGGTGTTAAACTAAATTGAATGTGAGCAGTAATAAGCGAGTGGTCAGAAAGACCCACAGGAGAGGACACTTCAAGTGTAGAAATTAATTCATCGTCATTTGTGAAAAATAAGTCTAAAATTGAAGGATTATTGTTGGCTCTAAACCTTGTAGGTTCATTTATCAGTTGTAATAAATTTGAGTTCATGATAAAGTTTTTAAACAAATTTTGGGAATTAATAGTATCAGTTTTGGAAATAATGGGCCAGCTTATTTCTGGAAAATTGAAATCTCCAACAACAATAAGATTTTCAAGGGATGATAATTCCTCAAGTTTGTTAATAAGCATATTGTCGTGAGTAAGTAATGTATCGGGAGGTCGATATATGCAAACTATATTAAATATGAAAGAGTTGATATGTATGTATGGATGAAAATTCATAACAATCGGTAGAATCTAACGACCAGCAAAATAACGATGATGAATAACGTCTCGATATACAGTTTCCTGGCAATGAATCATATGTCTATGATGATAGTTATCCTTAAAATAGAACCTAACTAATTCCTGTTCATGTATACAGGAAACTGATCGATGATAAAATTTTACAACTTATTGTAGAGCAGACTTACCGAAATGCTGCTCAAGTATCAATAAGGAAGAAATTTTAAAATTTTTTAATTGTGTTATGTATATGGGAATTGTCAACGTTCTCAAAATTGCTGATTATTGAAGTAAGTCACCATTGCATAATTTTACTTTTATTTCTTCTCTTCTTCTTCTTTTTCTTCCCTCTTGTATGTAAGCTTTAGATCCTGTTCCTTCTTCAATATTAGCCTCCTAAATTGTATAAATTATCGTACCGTCTTTTTCTTGATCTACCAATACTTCTTTGTTCATTTGGTGACTTATCTCGTGCTGTTTCACACAGGGAAAACAGACTTTTCCCTGATATTCGTCGAAGTATTTTCATCTCTGTTGTTTCTAGTAGTCTTCTCGTTTTAGATGTGTCAGGTCTTGTCTCCGCCATGTATGTTAATATAGCTCTAATTGCTGCTTTATAGATTCTTGTTTTTGTGTCTTGTCTTAGGTGTTTGTTCTTCCAGATTGTGTCATTAAGAGATCTTGCCGCTTTACTTGCTTTTAAGCTTTGATGTCGTACTTCTTCTTCAACATCTACTCTTCTCTAATGACCAGAAATATATTTCAGCTTCTTTTGAGATTCTTACATTTTGCTGTTAACACGGCTGCTTTACTGAATGATCCTTGCCATAAAATTAAAAAATTATTTGAAATGACATAATAACTTTTTGCCCAACAATGTAATCCTGGCTCAATACTAGTTGTTGATGAAAGTATGATTCCCTTTTGAGGAAGACTACTTTTCAAGCAATATATACCTTGAAAGCCTCACTGCTATGGCTTGAAACTGTTTAAATTATATAATCCTTCAGGTTATACTCTAAAAATGATTATATATACCGACAAAGTGGCTAATAAAGGTTTTTTCTATCGTGAAAAATTCTATTCGATTTAGAAAAAGATATATATATATATATATATATATATATAATATATATATATATATATATATATATATATATATATATATATATGTATATAAGCGAGGTTCCTACAGCCTCTGCCGTTTCTCGCATTTCGACCGCCATCGTTTTCTGTCCATCCATTCGTCTTCTCTGATGGCTCTATCTCTCATTATGTGCCGTACATTTTCTTCCCAGGCGACTGAAGGCCTTCCCCTTCTTCTTCTTTGTTGTGGTATGAAATTTAAAGCTTTCTTTGGCCATCTATCTTCATTCATTCGTTTCACGTGACCATACCACACTAGTTGTCTCGTTTCAATTCTATCTACACTGGAATATACAGTATTTGTCCTCCTTCTAATATCTTCATTCCTGATGTGATCTTTTTTGGATATACCACACGCTCTCCTTAGAAAATCCATTTCTACTACTTCTATTCTTTTTCTATCCTTCTGCGTTATCTGCCAAACCTCTGCCCCATAAGTCATAATAGGCTCTACCAAGGTTCGATAGATTGTCAATTTCGTTTCTTGTCTAATATCTTTAGACCAAAGTAGAGAGTTTAGAATGTTTACCACTTTTTTCCCTGCTGTGTTCTGTTTTCGATGTCTCTTTTGGTAGTGCCTTCTTTAGATATTATACATCCGATATATTTATATTCATTGCATGTTTTTGTGTTTCTAATTTCTAACTCTGGATCTTCTTCACCATCTCCTATTTTAAGAGACTCTGTCTTTGCCATATTCATATTGAGGCCCCATTTTTCATATTCTTTCTTTAGTTTTCTAAACATGTAGTCCATGTCTTCCTCGTCATTCGCTACGACTACCTGATCATCTGCGAAAAATAAAGCTGTTAGACATTCACCACCGCCTAAGTCTATTCCCATTCCGGATACTTGTTTTCTCCACTGCTCTAGCGATGATTGAATATATATTTTAAACAGGGTCGGAGACAGACAACATCCTTGTTTAAGCCCCTTGGTTATTGGAAATGATTCAGATATAAAGATTCCTTCTTTAACGACACTTCTTGCATTTTTGTATATATTTGCGATAGCATCCACATACTCTCTACTGCGACCTACTTTCGTCAATGTATAAAATAGTTTTTTCAAAGGTACCGTATCATATGCCTTCTCTAAATCTACAAACAATAGGTGGGTAGATAGATTCCTTGCCTTCCGTTTTTCGATTACCTGCTGCAGAACGAATATATTATCAATGCACGATCTTCCTGCCCGAAATCCATTTTGTTCCTCTATGTCTTCATATTCTGATTCAATTCGTTTTTTTATTATTCGACCGTACAACCTCCCAACTGAGCTAGTAACAGTTATTCCTCTATAATTAGAGCAATTGCGTTTATCCCCTTTTTCTCTACAAAAGAAAAAGATTGTCTACAAAAAGGAATAGTTGTAATAACCGATAATTACTACACGTATGTGCCTTTAGCAAAACAATTATTAGATGCTAATAGTCACTTATTAGGGAGACTGCGTAAAAGCATAAAATATATTCCAGAATATATACTTTCCGCAAAATTAAAAGAAGGAGAGATAGTTAGAAAGGAACATCGTGATGGCATTGTAATAGGCAAATGGCACGATAAACGTGATGTCCTCTTTTTGACGACCAGACATGGAATCGACATGAAAGAAAGGTGAACATAAGAAAAATGGTGTAGGTATAATTAGTTATCTCGGGATGAAAAATAAGGCAAGATATTTTTTACATGACAAAGGATTGTCGAAATAATAACACCAAATTGTAGTTGAGAATAATAATTATCAGCCACAGAGTATGGAAAATAGAACTGGGGCGCTAAGCTCTAGTAAAACCCATGAAGGACTGACCTGGCTGACCTGAAGATCGCCTATATTTATATATGCCGTTCGAGCGATAAATAGGGATGTCCAGGTCAATAGCCAATTATAGACTACAACAAAAAAAAACGATGGTGTTGACGTCTATTGAATACGGCTGTCATCAATAGTTTAATAATATATAATTCCTTCAGCACACCAAAACCGCAAGTTATCCCATTTCGGGAAAGGCTAATCTTTGGTGTAGTCAATTATAGTTTGATGCCAAACCTATTACTACGGTAAAGTATATGCATGTTACAGTTGACGCCAAAACTAAAAACAATAAGAGAAAACGTTATAACCAATGTTAAACGGAAACAGTTGCAACAAAAGGCAGTAAAGAAGCTCAAAAAAACCCAAACTTGTTTCTACATTTTGTAATATTTGCGAAAAATTTTACTGTGTGACGTGTTTCATTAAAAAGCATTAAGTTGTTCACGATCACCGGTGACACTAGTTGCACATACGTATGTAATATGGTTACTGCAGTGCCATTAGTATCACCCATAATTTTCATATTTTTTTCAAAAATGTAAAATAAAAGAAAGAAAAGAAAAAAAATGTAAACTTACTTTGTATTATTAACCATTTGTATGAATAAATACTGTTTTGTAAACATTTTCCACTTTGGCATCTGGGGATCTTACCTAACACTCTTACGGTGGCAGCCAATGTATTAATTTATGAATTTGTATGCAGCAATTTAAAATTGTAGGGAATCTAACCTTTTAAACCTGTGTATTATAACAGAATAAAAGCAATAGGAAAAGACTTACCTGAGAAGTTATCCAAATATCCGAAGTAATGTAGTGTAAAAAATAAATTTCTTTATTTTCCCTATTTTGCAACGTAACAGTAATACTACTGTTACTATTCAAAAAAACATCCATACTCATAACAAAGTACAAAACGTGATCCATCTTCAGTCTAATCCCCTCCATATAATTTTCACTGGTAACAAATTTTAAAATTTTATTATTAGAAGATTTTTCTAAGAGCCTTTCCAGCTTTGCAGTTGGCGGTACTGTCCACTTGGCTAAGTCTTTTTCACAGTCTTCTACCATCTTCCTTCTAGGTTCTGGTTCAGTCAGGTTTTTGCTAAAGTGGGAAAGCCCAAACTGAGCTATCTGCGTGGGGTAGTAATAACCTGGAATATATAGGATGATTGTATTATATGAGCAATCAATGATTTATGAGTCAGCTCAATGATCAGCGAACTGTGAATGATTTTGATGTGAATGATTGGAGCAACGCTCCATCAGAAGTTTTTTAAACACAGCATTATATGAATGTCTCACTGTCTAAAAATAAGTCCACTGCATTCTAGAGAATCACAGCCAAAATAGAAAATGTTTTTCATGCTTGAAAAATTAGTATAGAAAGAGTTTCTTATATAAAAAAGGCTGTTAGCTGGTCCTGATCAGTCTGATACATATTAAGATCCGTTAAATGCAACATACAATTCAGCATATGCACCAATGGCAGACAAAGATGATTTCTATGATACCTTAGAAAGAGTTATGCTAACACTATTTGGTTGCTTTAAAGCTAAAATAGACAAAGAACCTACCCTATATCTTACAATAGCTAAACATAGTCCTCATAATATATACAATGGCAATGGTCAAAAACTTATTGAAATAACAGCAATTAACAATACGTCAATAAAGTCAACCATGTTTCTACATGAATATATTCACTAACAAACCATCACACAACTCGTAATCAAATTGATCATATTCTTATCGACACCGGTCATAAAAACAATATCCTATATGCAAGAAGCCTTGCTAAAGCTCTGGAATGATTAGGAAATGCCGAAAGGTCTTAATCTCAATGAAGGAAAAATCCTAATCTGCATCTCCACTTGGTAGAAGGTGGGCAACATCAATGTTGATAGCTAACGCAGATAGGGACCAAGTGATTTCCGGAATATGAATGAATTGCAAAATAAGACAAAACAACAAAAATATAGATAACTCACACATCCTGAACCCTCAAACAAAATGTAATCCAATAGAAAAGCTCTGGAAGACACTGCAGAAATAATGATCCAAAAGACCAACAAGATAGTTAGAAAAATTAAAAGAACAAAGACAAAAACTTGGTATGATGAAAAAAAGCAAATTATAAGGAAGAGATAGTTACAACAACAAACACAATGGTTTCTTCATTTGAGTTTTGGGAGTACTTGACTGAGGAAACTCAGAATACATCAAATAGACCAGTGAATGAGTAGTATGGTAGGATACAGGAGGGGAGTGAAAGTGCTGGAGATAAAGAGTGTTCACCTTCACTGTGCTCTAGTGAGAGTTATAAGAACCAAATCATCAAGCCAATGCTGTAAATATTAAATTGTTAAATGATGAATGCGATATTCACATTAATTATATACTTTCTTCTGGTAATTATGGACTGAAATCAAGAACATAGAACTATCTATGGTATAAGAATATTCCAACACACAAATACGATCTTTAGTATAAATATAAACAGTTACCTTGACTCTCCCATTGCGTAGATACAGGTACTCCCTCTATTCCACTAACGCATTTAACCCTATCTCTGACTTCTACATTATAATTTTCAAAATACATAAATACACCCCTGGGATCATATTTGGCCTTAGGACGATAAACTTTGCTGTAGCTATGAGACCACTCAAATCGTTCCGTCCCATCATATGTGGCTAGCTTTCCATACACTTCAAAATATCTAGAAAAAATTAAATTAAAACTAAAAAACACACTAAATTCTTTTTAGACATAGGTTACGTTCTAGTTAAAGTATCAGAACTACAATTATCTTGGTACAGTAATCAAACAAATGATTGTGTGAAAAAAAATTAAAGTATTAATAGAAAATCTTAATTTATCTATTTGAATAATAAAAGTTTAACTTACTTGTGTAAAAATGAAAAGGGGATATAAACATCATCCCCTTCTTTGCGACAACCAATGATATAATCTCCGTTTATTTCACAATCTAGTTCTTCAGTGACCTGAAGATCAAACGATTTTGAGCTAAGACTGTTCAATCTGTGCCATTCCTTATCTGAGCTTCCACAAAACGAATACAACGTTAAAACTGTTAAAATCCCAACAAACACAAGAAACAGTAGTGCTATTTTAATGTTAAATCGCATCATAATAAAAAATAGTGGCGGTTCCTGAAAAGACAAAACAAACTGCATTCGTTACAAGTTTTTACACAGGTAAGAATACTATTTATAACATCGTATTGTTTGACTAACAATTAAATTAATTCTATGCATGTCTTCTTCAGGTTCCTTCTCCTAGGGGAGATTGGAAATCATCATCGATATTTTAATTTTATTGGACGTGCTAGCGATGGAAATCTTATCTTGGAGCCATCAACGATCTTAGAAACATGGAAATCATACATAGATCCTATGTAAATCAGACAAACAGTTTCTTGATAATCTAGTTATACTTTTTAACAACATTTATAATAGCGGTAAAATCCCAGAGAACTGGCTGTGGTCAACATTATTTATTACAATCCCAAAGAAACCAAATGCCCAGATCTGTGATGACTACCGGCTTATAGCTTGATCAATCATGTCACTCAAGCATTCACTAAGATTATTCATAGAAGAATATATGATAAGTCAAATATTGATAGATTGCAGTTTGGTTTTCGGAAAGCACTTGGAACTAGAGAAGCAGTTTTTACTCTCCTCCAGGTGCTTATACAGCGGTGTAGACGCGTTGATAAGGACATGTATTTGTGCTTTGTGGATTTTAGAAAAGCATTTGACAATGTCAATCATGAACAATGGGTAGATATTCTGCGAAAGACAGGCATTAACTACAAGGATATTCGTTTTGTAGCAAACCTATACTGGGGTCAAACAGCAAGAGCAAAAATTGGCAATGATCTCACTGGAAGTGTGCAGATCAAAAGAGGTATCCGTCAAGGGTGTATCTTATCCCCACTCCTATTCAATATTTATTCCTAGGAAATATTAAAAAAATGTATGAAAAATGCAAATGAGGGCATAAAAATAAACAGCGAGTTAACAAACAATATAAGATATGCCGATGACACGGTGATCATTGCCAGTACCATAGACGAATTACAATTCGTCTATGGTACTGGCGTCGAGGTACCTCCAATTCCTCCAAATTACACATGAGATTTATCTTTGAATGACTTTATGTAACACCCTGTATATGTTTCTATTTTTAAAAGCTCCTAAAAAGTGTATATATTAACATCAGATGATTTTATATGAAAGATTGACATCTAGATGGGGGAATAAAATTTAAAATTTTGTTCAAAAAATAGTTGCCTAATACCAGTTCTTTAATATTGCGTTGGACAAACATCAATTCATAAATTAATTCTTTTATTTTGACCAAAGCTTAATATATATGTTTGTTTTACAATTGGTGTTCTATTTCCAAGAGATATTGAAAACTGAAATAACAAGATAAAACAACTTTAGAGAAAGCAGTGTTCTTCTATTTAGGATATTACTTCATGACAATTGATATCCTTGCTAGAACAAATCATAAGGAAATTTTAAAGACAGTATATAAGTGCTAAGAAAGAAATTGTGTCAAAATTTGTTGCATATACTGTAGATTTGTTCTTATGTTTATCTCTTCTCTCTCTTTTCTCTTAGAAACTCGGCATGTAATAATTAAACCTAAATGTTAAAATAAATAGTGAGGTAACGCTCCTTTTATAGCGTACTAGGGTCGCTATTCACTATGTCCAACTACAAAATTAACATTTGTAGGAATAATACTGACTTAAAACAATTTTACTGAATTCTCTTAATACTCACCCCACTCCTGGTATATCCAGGTTTCTTGTCAACAAGATTCATTTAGTATTTTACATAATTTTAATATAATTAAACAATCCGAATTCTTTATTTATTGATCGGAATCGTGTATTATCTTTATTTACCATTTACTTTTGGTATTTATTAAATAAACATTAATAGAGATAAATGTCACACATATGTCATTATCATGTGTACATTTACAGAAACTGTCAGTCGAAATGAATATCTTCTTGTTTTATATTCGTTCACCTCTAGGTTTAAGGTTTAACAACCACTTTTGTTTATTTCAATTTTATATTTCATTTTTTTTATTGTATTTAGAGACACAGAAAAGAAACAGAATTATACACAAGAAGGCTCGAAGGGATTTGTCTTTCCCCTTCAAAATGATGTGTTATGAATGTTTCTGGAAGATAGAGATATAAAGTATATTTGACGGAAATTTATTAACACTTTTCTTGTGAAGCTTGTCCTCATGAGGATTTGGAATTGTATTGAAAAGAGAATAAATAACTTAAGAAAAAGATTTACATTCTCATTCAGTAAATATAAATATAGGACACCTGTAAATATGCGAAGAGATGACACAAATATATCGTATGTATCCAGGCATATACATTTCCCAAGATCGTATGTAGGTTTAGGTTTTTTTACGAACTGAATGGAGGTAAATAAATTTTATTGTTATGGAAAATAGTAGCAAAGTAAAATTAGAATATCAATAATTTCAAATGCAACGCTACGAAAGTATTTGTTTATTAATAATATTTCATTATTAAACTGTTTACATTTAGATAATGTCAGAACACAGAATAAATAACAATTTTTTATTATTGTGTGGTCAGAATCATTAATAAATGTCAGTTCCTAGCAGCTAGGCAATTAGTAATACCCTAACGAGGGTGGCGACATCTAGTTATTGCAGTTTAAATTTTTTAATCCAAACTAGCACAGAGATATACATATCTCTGAGCACAAACCATAAATACTGTATGTTTGTTTAAATTAGCGTCCTCATTAAATCTTAAACTGTCAAAAACCCTCTCACCAAAATAATTGTAACTGTCCTTTTTGTGAATCAATAATAAAATTATTATTTATCCTAAAATTTCAAGCTCCAAAATAATTTTTTAAATAATACCAAATCTGTTTTATAATAAATTTATTACATGTGATCACAAGGATCTGTAAATGATTTCTGCTGTATACTATCAATACATTTTATTCACCAATTCGGTTCGCTAATGCCAGTCCAAACTGTCTAGTGATTTTAGCACAGAATTTTTAATTAGTATTATGTGACTATACTAAGATACTGGTGATCATATCCGCCGACAAGGATGAGACCGTAAACGAAGAGAGATGATCGATTACTTGTATCAAAATTGACTGGTGCTAATCTCGAAGGAGCTTATAGAGGTCTGAGGTGTGGTTACCAGCGTTTGGACAGTCAGGAGACTGCAAGCTGCCAACCTTACACCAAAAGGGCAGCTACGGGTCAGTAAAGGCGATTAAAATTTGCTCGCTGACATCTGAATTGGGATGACTGTCAAATATTATTCTCATAATAAAGTAGGATCTGCTACATGGCAACAAGAAGAGGCGTAAAGTCTATAGAAGACAAGGAGAGTGATTTACTCAATGTTGCTTACATTCCAATGATGAATATTTAGGAAACTCTGTTCGTATTGCATATTGTTTTTGTTATGCATCCTCCAAATAATGCAATAGCAGTTTTTTAAGTTCATTATTAAAGTTATTGTTTGCACATTAAATACTTCTGACATTGTAAGAGGTATAAACTTAAATCTCGCTTTTGAGTCGATTGTCTCGAACTTAAGTGTAGATAATTCGGACTGGGATCATTGAACCGAGTATATCTCCTCTGTCAATGAATTTGAAATGGCATTTTGTTTTTTGAAAAATCTAGGCAATCAAACAATTCCAATTTTTTCTGTGCTGCATACAAATTGCGCTTAAAAGTAAAAATAAATAACACAATTTTGAAGTTTTTATTAGAAATATAACATCAATGATCGTAATATTTATTTATTAATGCTTAAAGTAACACAAAAATATATAATATATAAAAAATGCAATCACGTCACAATATCTATCTCTTTTTCATTTTCTTTTTATTAAAATTTCCGCTATTTCTTTGTTTTTTGGACTTTTTTAACTCGCCGATTTGCTTCTTCTGTTTATTCTTCTTCATTTTCTTTTGAAGTTGACTTGCTGCTTGCACAGGAACGTCCATCCAGTCTATTTTCTTGGACTTTTGTACTTGTTTGCTATCTTCTGAACTTTCTGAATTTTTTTTCTTTTTCTTTTTATGTGCAATATTCGACTGAATATTTTTGTTTGTTGCGGAATTGGAGTTCGACTGGTTTTCAGTTTTCTGCTTAAGTTTCTTTTTCTCTGAATTTTGCTTTTTAGAAACTTTTCCATTAGAGCTTTCTGGCTGTTGTTTGTTTTTATTCTTAAGTTTATCTTTATTTTTCTTATTACTTTGTGAGTTCGCAGTCGTTATATTTTTGTTTGTCCTTATTTCTTCTACTTGTTCCCTATCTTTAACTTTTACTTTTTTGATTTCCTTCTTACCTTCTTTAGTACCACCTTGTTTCTTTTTCTGATCTTTATTTTTAGTCTTCGGTAAGTTTTTGTCAATTTTAGTTTTCTTTCTAGGTGGTTGTGGCTCTTCAATCTTGTCTTCCTCCTTCTCTTCTTCAGGCTCTACAATACTCATTTCATCTTCTCCTTCTTCTGTTGTATCAGACTTCGGAATCACATCAGAGAACTTCTTAAGCTTAGCTACGAAGAACCCGTCCATGTTATGAGTATGCGGATAAAACCGTTTGGTAAGTTTAAGGGTAGGATGGAAACGATGCTGCCTGTAATTAACAAAACCATCTGTACCGAAATCTAGACCAGTTTCAACAAGCTTAACGTTACGTTTCTTTAAAGCGAAGTCGACCACCCATTCATTTTCTTCCGGGAGGATGGAACACGTTGAGTAGACTATATAACCACCTGTGGACGATTTCGCACTGACACAATCTATGGCTGCTAAAAGTAATTGTCGTTGAAGATTATAGCACCTCTGAATGTCTACCTCATCCTTGCTGGTTTTTACGCTTTGATCTTTTGCGACCACGCCAGTACCTGAAACATGGTAAAATGTGTTTAACTCCAGAAAATTAATATGGGGCGAAATGGGGTATAGGCTATTCCACGAATATACGACTGTTTTGGTTTACTGCGACAACGAATATTTTACTGTGCAAGTAGAAGTATGAAGGTAAATTGGTCCAATCATTATTCCAATAAAAAGGGTCCACTAGTATGACATCTAAACTAAAATTATTTCAGTTAAAATCTACAAATAAATACAATGACGTCTATGAAGTCAAATGTGTTCATCAGACATTTGGGTAAGCTTTCCGTGAAATGTAAACACCAAAGAGACGTGCCGGGTTTCTTTGATATTACCCTATTTTTTGACTATTAGGGATTACAACTGTAATAAAAAGAAATATACTATTTTTAATATAAATGAAAAGAAATTGGCAGAACGATGGTTCAGAAACCAGAAAAAGGATATAATATTTCACTTTGTTAGTTTTAAATATTTGTTTGCTTTGAATTTATGTACTCTTAAAAGTTCCGAATGTAACGGGTATAATATACCGGCTATTGATAGTTAAAGTACCGAGTCGTTACAGATATTAAAAAGGAACGAAAATTTATATACAGTTTCATATATCGCCGACTGATTATGGCTGTGAATCTGATCGTTGATGATAGTTTTAGAAGATTAAGAGAATAAGTGAATAAGTAAGTTTTTTGTTTTTTTAATATTAATTGAATATTCGACTAAAAAATTTACACTATTTGATCACTTAAGTATTGTTACATTTCGTTTAAATCACATAATTCAAAAACCAACTTGTTTACAATGAAATAATTGAAATGAAAAAATAAACTCCATGATAGTAATTATATACTTCAAAATCTGAATTACAACTGTTTTATAAACTATTAACTTTATATTTATATCATGACTTCATATTTAAATCTAAGGTTTATATCTGTCGTAACAGTATTTTAAAAATGGGGAGAATTTACTATTGTACAATTCAGTACATTGGACCATTTAAATTGACACCTTAAAGCGAATTAAAAACAGTCGTATATTCGTGGAATGGAGTATAACTTAAGTTTGGGAGTAAACGCGACCTGTTAAGATTTTCGTCATTATTAGTTTCAAAGAGGATCAAATTTAGTGCAGTTGGAACATTTTTTATATGCCATGAACACACACTTCAAGAAACCAGTAAACCAAAAATGGACGTGAATATCTCCCGATAAAAAGAAGAAAAACAAGATCGATTACTTCTTGTGTGGGAAAAAAGACATTTTTGAAGATATAACTGCTCTCAATCGATTCACAACTGGCAGCGATAATCGTCTTGTAAGAGCAAGGATTCATATTAAACAGACGAAACCAGTAGAAACAGGCTACATAATTATTGTAATCAGATAGATCAAACTCAAATAAGACAGAAGGGAGATGAGTACAGAGAAGTCTTAAGAAAAGAATTTGTAGAACATTATCAACAAGAATATTCCGACATGAACCCAATTAATAAAGAAATGGAACGAAAGCTCTTGAAAGCACGAATGACTGTTGCAAAGAAAACGTGATGTTTTCTGAAAACGAATAAAGAAGACAGAATAAGTGATGGAACAAAACGGTTGATGGAAAACAGACGCACATTTCTAAGCGAAGGAAAGCGAAACACCAATGGTTTCAAAGAATTGAATAAACAAATAAAGAAGGGAGAACATGAAGATTTAAGAATCTACAATGAAAACAAGGTAGAAAAAATAATAGAAAAGAACCGAGGCCTGAAATGCTTAAGATCAAACTTAGGAAAGCCTATAAGAATCTCATTGGAAGATAAAGATGAAAAAGAAATAAGAGAAAAGAACGAAATCCTAAAAGTTACTCAAACATTTTACCGTGATTTATATTCCTCAAACAAAAACCCAGACAACACTGCAAAGGAAGATCTTAAGAGAAAGATAACAAGTGTCAACTCAGAAATACTCCCTAACATAGAATCCTTCGAAATAAAACAAGCTATGGCACATCATCATCATCACTGGCTCGACAACCCTTTTTGGGTCTTGGCCTGTTCAAGGATTCTTCTCCATTCTGACCTGTTTCGTGCTTTTTTTTTCCAGTTTTTAATTTTTAATGTTGTTATATCATTTTTTATTTGTTCTACGTATCTCAGCTTCGGTCTTCCTCTTGTTCTTTTTCATACTGGCACTTGTTTGAATATTTTGTTTGGTATTTCGCCTTCTTCCATTCTTTCCACATGTCCAATCCAACGTAGCCTTCCTATTTTAATGAATGTTATGATATTCGAATCCTGGTATATGTTGTATAGTTCAAAGTTATACCTTCTCCGCCAAATCCCGTTTTCTTTTGTGCCCTTATATATGTGTCGCAAGATTTTTCTTTCAAAGGTGGCTAATAACGTTTCCTCCCTTTTAGAGAGTGTCCAGGTTTCTGAACCATATGTGAGTACCGGTCTTATTAAGGTTTTGTATATTTGGCATTTTGTTTTTCTGGAGACGTTATCTGATCTTAGTTGCCTAATTAAGCCATGGTAACATTTATTGGCAATAAATATTCTCCCCTTCACTTCCTCTGCAACGTTGTTATCAGACGTAATTAGGGATCCTAAGTATGTAAAGTTTTTTACCGCCTCAATGTTGTATTCTCCTATTGTTAAATTTGGCAGCTGCCTTATTTGTGCGTTTTTATTTGCAGGCATATATTTTGTTTTTGTCTGATTGATTTTAAGACCACTATTTTTTGCAGCTCGTTCTATTTGAGTGAATGCCTCTATCATTTCTCTTCTTGATCTTGCGATTATGTCAACATCATCTGCAAATGCTAGTACTTGCACGCTTTTATTAATTATTGTTCCTCGGGTATTAACTGTTATGTCTCTTATTATTTTTTCAAGTATGATGTTGAATAATATGCATGATAGAGCGTCTCCCTGGCGTAGTCCCTTCTTCACATCTATTGTTTCCGTTAATTCGTTTTGTATCCGGATTTTACTTTCTACTTTTAGTGTTTTTTTTTATCAATTCTATTAGCTGTGTTGGTATATTAAATTCGTTCATTGCTTTTGTTAGGAATTCTCGGTTTATATTGTCATATGCGCTTTCGAAGTCTATGAAGAGATGATGTGTGTCGATGTTACATTCACTTGTTTTTTCAAGGATCTGTCGCAGAACAAATATCTGGTCTATTGTTGACTTCTGTCTACAGAAGCCACATTGGTATTTGCCAACTATTTTTTCAGCGTATGGTCTAAGTCTTTCATACATTACGTTGGACATTATTTTGTATGCCGCATTCAACAGCGTGATTCCACGGTAGTTTTCACATTCTAACTGGTTTCCTTTTTTATGTAGTGGTACAATAATGCCGCTATTCCACTCCTTTGGTAGCTGTTTATTCAATCATATCTTTCTTATCAGCTCATGTATGGCTTTAAGTAATGCGTCTCCTCCTTCTTTCAGTAGCTCCGATGATATTTGATCCGATCCCGGTAATTTATTGTTCTTTAATTTGTCCACTGCTATTCTAATCTCTGCTATTGTTGGTGGACTCTTTTCTCTGTTGTCTGCTTGGTCTAACGGTATATCAGGGTTCATCTTCGTCCTATTCACCCCAAGCTTTTCCTTAAAATGTTCTGTCCATCTTCTAAGTATCTCTTGCTGTTCTGTCAATATATTGGCATGTCAAGCTATGACACAACTAAAGAACAATAAGGCTCCGGGCGCAGATAGAATACTTGTAGAAATGTTGAAAGAGGGGAGTGAAATTATTCTCGAAGAATTGAAATTTTTTTTAACGAATGTCTTCACAGAGGAGAAGTCCTAGATGATTGGAATGGAAGTTTGACAATACTTCTCTTCAAAAAAGGAGACAGGGGAGATTTGAAGAACTATAGGCCAATCTCCTTGTTGTCCCAAATGTACAAACTGTTTATGAGAGTAATAACTAACCGGCTAACGTCTAAGCTCGACAGCAATCAACCGGTAGAGCAGCCAGGATTCCAAAAGTGTTACAGTACAGCGGATCATCTTCGTACAGTCCAAACGCTAATAGAGAAAGTAATGAATATTATATATATATACATCGGTTTAGAACGTCTTTCGACGTTGTCGAAACTTGGAAAACTTGTCTGAACTTGGAAAAAACAAAAATAATGACAAATACACCGAATTAGAGAAATAACGTTGAACGACATACATTTAGAAACAGTAAGCGAATACATCTACCTGAGACAGATAATGAAAGTTAACAAAGAAAATCAAACTGCCGAAATTAGCGGAAGAATAAGGTTATAAAACAAAAACACAAAGAGCGACGGAAAGATCAATGCTCGGGGTGACACTTACAGACAAAAAACAAACAAATAGTTAGAAGCAACACTAAAGTAAAAGACGCAGGAGAACATGCTGCCAAATTAAAATGGAGCTTTGCAGGACACAATGCCCGAAGATGGAACCACGAAATACAACAATGGAGACCATGGTTAGGAAAGAAAAGCAGAGGAAGATGACATTAAGAAGATCGGAGAACACAACTGGCGCAATATAGAAAACACTGGATTGATTTGGGGAGGCCTATGTCCAAAGTTGGATTACTTAAGGCTGGAGAAGAAGAAGAAGAAGGAAAATTTTGCATAAAATAATCGTATATTTTACACTTAATCACCGATTGTATACAGGCATCATAAGTTTTCATAGGATTATTTTCTCGAATTGACTTGAATCTGTTAAGTTTCTTGCAACTTAAAAGTTAAATGTTTCTCATTTATTTTTTTACAGCATATATGCTACGTTTTGTACAACATAAAGCTCTGCTTGCTTCTGCCACAGCAGCACTTACATTCATCGATCTTTTAAAAGTAGTTAATGGAACTTTTAAAAATAGGTCAAAAATACAAGCTCTTCCGTAAGTAAATCTGCAGCGCCATCTAGTGCTTGATAGCCGAAGTATGGGTAGAATAGTTTGAGGGTATACAAGGTATATAAACCAAAAATTTAAATACAAACAAAAACAACCTCTTACCTGTACAAGGTGCATCTAAAAGGACCCTATCAAACCCTTTCATATAACTAGGATATTTTCTTCCATCCATACAAGTAATGACTGAATTCACTACTCCCATTCTGTGAAAATTACCAACTACTGCTTTAATCCTATCTTTATTTAAGTCGTTAGCGAACAGGATACCAGTATTTTTCATAATAGCCGAAATATGAGATGCTTTACCACCTGGTGCAGCAGACATGTCCAGGATCCGTTCGTTTTCTTGAGGAGCCAAGGCCATAACGGGTAACATACTGGAAGCACCCTAAACATATTTAAACATTTAAATATTAAAATTTAATCAACGCAACTAGGGACTTTATGCTAATGCTAGTCAAGATACTCCTCAAAGCAGAACTTGAAAAGGCAGATAACAAATGTCAACTCAGAAGTGATGCATGAAATAAGGCACGAACAGATTGAAAGAGCAGTAAAAGAAATAAAAATGAATAAAGTTCCTGGAAACGATGAAATCCTAGAGAAATGCTGAAGGAATGCGGGGACGAAGCCATCACATATCTAAAAATACTATTTAATAAATGTCTATTCGAAGGAAACACCCGAACAATGGAATACTGCTAAAATAATAATAATACACAAAAAGTGAGACACCGCAGACCTGAAAAATTATCGACCAATTTCACTTCTTTCACAACTTTACAAAGATTATTACAAACAGGCTAACAATTAAATTTGACAGATATCAACCAGCAGAACAAGCCGGATTTAGAAAAAGGTACAGCACCTGTGACCATCTATATACTTTGTAAATCCTAATAGAAAAGAGTAACAAATACAATCTCCCACTATGTCTGGCTTTAATAGATTATGAAAAAGCTTTTGATAGTGTAGAACTGTGGGCAATAGTATTTATGAACAAGCTGAAATAATAGTGACGTTGAGTAATGGAATCGAAACAAGACCAGTAAAAATCAACAGAGGCGTAAGACAAGGAGACACAATATCTCCAAAATTATTTACAGCTGTCCTAGAAGATATCTTTAAGTCAATAGACAGGGAAAATAAAGAAATCCCTATTAACGGAAGATACTTGGACCATCTTAGATACACAGATGATGTAGTACTAATAGCAGACACGTGAAATGTACTGAATACAATGATTCAAGAGCTACATACAGAAACCCTAAAAAAGGCCTAAAAATGAATTTCAGCAAAACTTAACTAATGTCAAACAAATATTACTAACCTATGATAAACATATAAGGGACAGAGATAGAACACGTAGATGAATACACATATCTGGGTTGAAATGGCAAGGTAAGCAAAGAAAATAAAACTACCGAAGTAAGCAGACAAGTAAAAATAGGATGGGCAGCATTCAGAAGACTCTCATATGTACTTAAAAATAAAAATATACCTCAAAGACTGCGAACCACAGTGTTTAATTCCTGTATCCTACCTGTACGGAGCTCAAACCCGGACCTTCACATGGAGAAGATCAGAAGATGAGCTATGAAACGACAGATGGTGGGTATCTCACTCAAAGCCCATAAAACCCATTCTTAATAGAACAAAAGTAAAAGATGCTGTCGAAAAGGCAGCTAAACTGAAATGAAAATGGGCTGGACATAAACGAATGTCTTAAGGATGTCCGATGTAATAAAGAAATCGGGAATTGGCGGCCATATGAAGCTAAAATACCATGAGGAAGACTGCAAATGTGTTGGGGTGACGATATTAAAAGAACTGCAGGACCAATGTGGAAATGTCTCACAAAACAACAGAGATGATTGGCGAGAACTAGGAGAGACCTATATTCGACAATTCGAATAGAGAGGACTTAAAAAAAGTGGAGATAAATATAAAATAAACTTTTTATTTCTTTTAGCATCTACACACCAAAAAAATATATTTATTGATTCAGAAACAATACCAAGGTATGTACCTGAATAATATAATGCCCAGCTAAATATTCTGGTGTAGCACCCATAGGAACTTGGGAGGAGTACACCACAATACCAACTTTGCTCCATTTTCCAACAGGATCCAAATTTACCCCCCTATTGATCAATGCTTGAGCTAAATCTCGGCGTCGCGTTTTCAGACTGTTGGTTCTTATAGTTAGAGGTCTCTGTACTTCGCTAGCTTCTAGAAACTCCAAAAGTTCCGATAAAGGAAATATCTGCATTAATTTTTCCATTAGGAAGTCATTATAACTGTAGTATACACATAAATCATCCTTAAGGATGTCTAGATATTCTGCACGAGAATGTACGCCATCTCGAAGAGTTTTAAAATTAGATAGTACTGTTATTACTTCCCTAATGCGTTGCTGGACATCTTGTAAGCTTTTAACTTCTTTTTCGGCTTCCATAAAAGGAAAAATGAATTTTTCTTGATCTGCTATGTTCATCTGTAATTCTTCCTCTGCTAATTTATCTTCCTTTTCCTGTTTCTTTCTTAATTTTTTGCTCTGCTTTTCAATAGGCAGCATATCATCGTCGTTATTATCATCATCTGTTTCATCAGAAAATTCATCATTTTCATCAGAGTCATCGTCAACAAATTCACTTAATTTCTGAACCTTAAGACTATCCTCATCTTCATTCTCTGAAGCATCCTCATCTTCTACTTCCGATTGATCTTCGTCTTCAGCTTCTGATTCATCTTCACCTTCAACTTCAGATTCTTCATCTTGTTCTTCATTAGACTCTTCCTCATCATTCTCTGAAGCATCATCCTAGAAAACAGTTATTAAAAATGAAATAACATACAGGTAAAATATAGACAAATAAGACATAAAAACACTGTTAAATCTTATCACAGAGTCTAACTTTTAAGTCAATGGTATAGTTAAGATATATGTCATAAAATTCCTAAGCTTACTATTAAAATATTCTTTATACTTCAGTATTCAATAATTGTTAGTTAGTGACATTTGACAGATAAGATTCAAATATGTAATTAATTTTTTGTCTAATTTTTGTGGATTTCATAAAAACTATTGAAATCGTATCAAAATAACCAGATGAAAGTCAGAATAGATGATAATAGAGGGTTGTGAAACAATGTTTATAACAACAATAGTCTAAATAAATATGACCATGTTATTCTTCACAAAATTCAATTCAGTGTGCATTTGATTTCACAAGTTTTTGTCTAACTTCAAATAAGAAGTTGGTGAGAGTGGAAAACTTGTTATTGATAAATGCCTATAACTCTGGTTCTCCTTAATTTACCTTTGCTAACTTTGTAAAAAAATGTAAATGTAAAAAAATTTAATTTTGAAGAAGTATAATGGTCAATGTGCAGGCTAGATAGTGCTATTTTAGATACTTATTAGAGCAAATGTCGGCAACAGGCGGACCGCGAAAGATTGAACTGCGGAATATCGATTGCTGAATCAATCAAGAAAAAATCCACAGAGGTAGTATTACATGCATGCTGGATACTTAGTAAACACCAAAAACCATTTTCTGATTCTGAGATAGTGTGAAGGAATGTATGTTGGCAGTAGCTAACTCACTTAAAAAAAAAAAAAGATGTTTCTTCAGCAATTCAAAGCATCTCCTTGTCAGTGCAAAGTAATACACGAAGAACGGAAATTTTAGCTGCGGATATTAAAAACTTTCTTCTTAATCTTTTGCAATAGACACCTTGCTATGCCATAGCACTTGACGAATCATGTGGCATTGTTGATGATGAATGTCTGTTTTTGTAAGATTTCTTGATATTGAGTGTCAGATTTTTAGGGAAGAGTTGCTAGTAATATTGCTGCTGAAAGGTAACACTCGAGGAGAAGATCTATCCAAGGTAATTGATGAATTAATTTCTAAATCTAACATCAGTTATAATAAAATGATTTCGCTTTCTACTGATGATGATTGGCAAAGAAAAAGGTGATGTAAAGAGGATCAGGGATAAAATTAAAATTTAATAACATATCAGTGCATAATTCACCAGGCAGCCCTTTGTGGAAAACAGTGCTAGATTTAAAGAAGTCATGGACAGTTTAGTGAAGTAAATTAATTTTATGAGATGTCATTCTGTTCTTCAGCACTGACATTTCAAGAAGTTTCTTTCTGAATGCGATTCAGCATACTCTGACTTACTAAATATAGATATGCAGGGACCAAGGACACAATTTGAGTATATAACAAACAGGCGCCACATGCTGGTTGTAGGTTATTTTAAAATATTTGAATGTGCTTAACACAGAGTCACAAGGAAATGGAAAATTAGTATGTGATCTGATACAAAGCATGACTGCTTTTCATTGTAAGCCGGATATCTTTAAAAAAAAATATTGCCAACAACAAGAATTCATTAATTTTTCAACTATTCTTGAATATAATAAAAGTAAGGAGTACTTAGAAGAAGACATTGCAGTGTTGGTAAAATTTTTAGGCGATCTTAGGAACGAATTTCCTTCAAGATTCCTAGACTTTGCACAGGTAAGCAGATTATCTTTATTTCTAAAATCACCATTTGAAGTTGATGCAGCAGCAAAATGAACAGATGCGGTTGCTAAGCTGTTTGATCCGTTAAAAGTATTACTTCAAATGGAGATTATTGAAATACAAGAAGATTTGTACTTGCACGTTTATAAATCAGAATCCGCCGAAGAATTTTGGACCAAACATGTGCCAGCAAAATATGAGAATTGCAGACAACTTACAATCAATTTTACCACTATGGTTGGCTCAACGTATATGTGCGAAATGTCTTTCTCAAAAATAAACTTTTTGAAAAACAAATAACTCTCCCAATTAATGGATGCCCACCTTGAAGATATACTTCGAATTTGTTGTTCGACTCGAGAACCAGACCACAAACAACTAGCTCAAGAAGGTCGGTGCAATTTTTTGTATTAATTTAAGGACTTTTGTTTTATCATTAAGAATGTACCAAAATAATAAACAACTTGTCATTAAATGTTATCATTTGTTTTTTTTTGGACCTCATTCAAATTTTCTTCTAGTATCCGGATCCCACATAAAATTACTTGGCGACCACTGTATTAGAGAGTATAAAAGAAGAATTAATGATCAACAAATTGATGAAAATCACATGTAGATATATCATTTTCCTTTCCCAAGATAACTTTCAAAACATTTAAGTCATATGACTTTTCTTAAGACCTAGGCCTATATGAAGTAATTTAAGCTGCTGTTATACCAATGTTACAATCATCACTTGAGGGTGTTGAATTGTTGATTACACAAAAATTAACATCTGAAAGTGATACAAGTATGCACTGTTTTATGTAATTTATGTGTTGCATAAAATACATTCTAAATGAACAATTACATTTTTGAAGTTTGTTATGTCTTTTGAAACCCCTAAACAAATTATAATAAAAAGACAAGCATAAAAAGTTGTCAAGTAATTAAAAAATGATTTTAATAAAACAACAATTCATATTAAAGAAGAACAATCAGATATTAAGTTTGCATATCAACCAGAAATTTGGTGACAAATACAATTATTTAAATAAAAGGTTACATACCATTAGCAATATTTTACTTACACTTTCCTCTTCTTCTTCCACATCAGATTCTTCGTGTTTTCTTTTCTTGGGTTTTAACCATAGTTTATTTTCATCTGAAAATCCAGAAGTACTGGGTCTAAGAGGAAACTCATCATCATCAGATTCTTCAGACGATTCATCAACAGCATTGTTTCCATTTGTTAATTTTACAGATTGTTGCTTTAATTTTTGTTTCTGCTGTCTTTCCTGAACTTTTTGCTGTCTTTTCTTTGCTCTCAACTTTTGATGACGACTTAGTTTCTTATCTGGACTTGTTTCTTTACCTACAATAACATTTTGTAATACTTGTTAGTAATGTAACCTTTACACTTTTACCTTCTACATACAAAATAATAAATATATCTATTTCTATATAAAGAAAAATAAAATTTCACTGGAGTCTTGTGACATTATATTGATTTTTCATCATTAGTTTAGTTTCTTTAAAATGTTAATTTTCACATATCACTGTTTAATATAACTATTTTTAGTTATATTGGCTCTTAGAATTAAAATGTGTTACTTTCTGTAAATTATCTGTATAAAAAGATTTATGCATAATGCATAGTGTAAGGTTGGTTTTGAAATTAATATATGAAAATTAACCACCATAGTGAAATTAAACCTACTTTATTCCACCTTTCGACTTCCAGGTCGAATTCGTTTTCATTTGATTGATAACAACTTCCAATCTGGATGCCGAAATGTTAATAAACTAAACAATTTTACAATAGTGAATAATTCCCACTATATTTATTAGTCATGATGGTAGAATGTCACAAGAAAATACCTTCAACACAGTTATAATAATACGATACATTCGTATTCCAACTAATTTTGAAAATGAAAAAAAACGTTACCTGGAATAGGAATTAAAAATGATGGATCCTTTTGTTTTTTAGCTTTCCTTCCTGGCCCTTTCTTGACGACTTCCCCTTCTTTATTAAACCTTGCTTTTCTACCCATATTTCTTTCTATAAATTAAATAAACTTATGATCTATTCTAAGTAATAATTTAAAAAACTCCATGTGGTAAAGTTTATGTGATTTTAAGGTTATGTTTGCTAGATAAATTCATAGCACACTACCACCTCTATGGATAAATTTAACATGATCTTCTTTTTTGGGTGATTACCAATGTGCAATTTTTCCCGGAATATCTTTTTAAAATCCTACTCTTGGCATTATTATTTTTGAATTACGATTCTTGGATAATAATATGCATGTGCTTTATGCTTTTACAGTTCAACGTTTTAATATTATTTAGGGATACATTTCAAAATCACATTTTCTATCAGTTACCTACTTTAATGTTCTATGTACTTGGAAACGAAACGAGATATAAATAAATAAGATTTTTTTATGGAACAAACAATATGTTAATAAAATGGATGTTATTCAGTTTGAATATCATTCAGTTTTCTGTTTTTCCTATGAGGTTTATGTTTATTTATTCTACGGTCTTGAAGTTTTCTTTAAAAATACTATTTTTTTTTATTCTCAAGGAACTTTACAAATAAACTTTATTGTTCTTTTTTGCTCGTAATTACAAATATCTAGAACAATACACGTAGCGCAAAACAAAAAGATTAATTAATAATTTGAAAGAATCAGATAGAAAAAAAATAAAGAAAATTGTAAAGCAAAGTTACTTTGTCAGTGCCATTTTTGTTGGCAATGTCAGTTCATTAGCGTGTAATTGGCATATGAGCCATTGGAGTGGACGTTGTTGTTGTTGTTTGTTTGTGTTTAAATGACTGCGGACACTAAATCCATTCGCCAATCTTACAATTTGTACTCATTTTTTCATTAGTCATTGTTTCATATACTATCTTATACTAAATTCCTACTAATACTAATCCTACTATTACTAGTATTGATCCCTAATATATAGTCATTTTTTCCTATGAATTGTTTTTTAGTTATTTATATATAAGTATAATAAGTGATGAGGTCCTTAGAGTTCCACAGTAAACTTTTCTGCAGCTATCTACTTAATTCAATAGCTACTTTACTGTGGACTGTCCAAGTTCCTCAATTTTTCTTTTTTTTATTTTTTATTTGTATTTTTTTTTTAATTTTTTTTTTATTTGTTTCTTAGTTTTTGTTTTTTTTTTATTTTTTTTTTATTTGTTTCTTTAATTTTTTTTTTTATTTTTTTTATTTGTTTCTTTAATTTTTTTTTATTTTTTTTATTTTCTTTTTTTGTTATTTTTTTTTTAATTTTTTTTTTCTTTTTTTTTTCTAACAAATTACAAAGAAATACTTACTCTATATTTACAATTACAATTTGAGTTTAATATCTAAAACATGTTTATACAATAATCTATATAAAAATTCATTGTTTTCTAATGTTAATAAATAACTTAAATTAATGGGATGGTGGACATCGGTCAAAGAATATAGCGAATTTAAAAAATTATTAACCTTATTGGAAATAAGAGAACAGTCTAAAATTTTATGTTGTAGGTTACCCATCTGACCACAAGTACATTGTGGACTATCAGCTAGATTCATTTTAAACATATATGATGGTGTAAGACAGTGGTTAAATCTCATTCTGCATATAGTTCTTGTCATATCCTTTGTCGACTCCATTTTAGCAAACCAAGATTTATCCGTAATATGGTTTCTGATTGCTCTGTAATGCTTTCCTGTATTTATATTTTCATTAATATACCTTTCTTTCCATTCCTTCTTAAGCTCTTTGAACGTGTCTGATTCTATATCTCTAGACGTACAAAGATAATCAGTTAATACTCCTTGTGTCACAGCATTTTTTGCCAATTCATCTACTATCTCATTTCCCGTGATTCCACAATGGCTTTTAATCCATGCCAACTTAACAGTTTTGCCTTGTTGCTGAAGTTCTATAATTTTATTTATTATATATAATTCAACGTAATTTACTTTTGATTTAGGATTTATAGCACTAATTTTACTTACAGCACTTTTGCTGTCACTATAAATTATAAACTTTGAATGATCTATATTAGATAAATATTTTAGTGCTTCCACTATCGCTATTAATTCAGCTGTGTATATACTCATGATGGAATTGAGTTTAAACATTTTACTGTTTTTATTATTGTCATCCCAGTATGCACATCCCACACCTTCGATACTTTTGGATGCATCTGTATATAGTATATAATAATCTTTGAACAATTGTGAACTGTCAGATATAAACATTAATTTTCTTAAAGATAAAGGTAAATTGCTGTAGTCCCTTAAGAAGTATACCTGAACTTGTTCTAGAGTATTAAAGTCAATATTGTAATTTGGGTTTATGTCATATTTATATAGTTGTTTATCATATATTGTCATTTTTGAATATAAATCTACTATATTTAGAGTTTTCTTTTTTATCCAATATTTTTCTGTTAAGTCTGCTAAGAACAAGTGGTGTATTTTAAATATTAAACTTGACTTTTTCTCGTACAATCTTACTAAAAGTCTGATGCCAAGTTTTTTTCGTCTTATATCCATTGGCATTTCACAGCATTCGACTTGTAGGTTACTAATGGGTGTACTTCTTAGGGCTCCTATACACAATCTAAGGCATTTATTAACGATTTTGTCTATTTTGTTTAAATGACACTGTGATGCGTCACTGTATAATATTGATCCATAGTCGATTATAGCTCTTATATTATTTTTAAATAATAACAAAGAAATATTTGGATCTGCTCCCCATCGTAAGTGTGACACGAATCGAAGAAGATTTATGCCCTTTTCTGTTTTTTTAACTATATTGTCTATATGTTCTTTCCAGAGAAGCTGTCTATCAAGAATAATGCCCAAATATTTAACATATTTTTGCACTGGATAGGAGACATTGTTTATTAAGATGTAGTTGGGTATCTCTTTTCGTTTTCTTGAAAAAATACATAATTTAGTTTTCGAATCAGAGATATTTAGTCCATGTAAATCACTCCATGTTTTAATATGATTGACTCCTTCTTCAATGGATTTGACTGCATTTTCTATTTTAATGTTTTCTTGATAAATGACTATATCATCTGCAAATTGTAAAATTCTTGTGGAGTTTAAATTTTTTACTAGATCAGCAGTGTAAATTAAATATAACAATGGGCTTAATATTCCTCCTTGAGGTAAACCATCCATCGCTAGCCTTGGACCAATTGTGTTACAATTTACCGATATATAAATTTTTCGACAGTCATATAGTTTTATTATTTTTTGACAGAAACATTCGGGAAGACCTATTTGTGTCATTTTGTTGTACAGTATATTTAAATTAACGTTGTCGTATGCTGATTCCACATCTAATAAAAGAGCTGTTACTGAAGAATTTGACGTAAACGCTAAATTTATATCTGTTACCAAGTGGCTCACTGCTTCCACAGTAGAATGATTTTTACGAAATCCAAATTGTGTTTGTGATAGTTTATTATTTTTTTCCAACCATCTTTCAAGCCTAAGTTTTATCATTCTTTCCAGTGTTTTTGTTATGCAGGAGCTTAATGAAATGCCTCTATAAGATTCTGCCGAATCAGAATTTCGATTTGCTTTAAGTATGGGAATCACCCGGTACTCTCTCCAACTATCTGGAATATCTTCTGATTGCCATATTTGATTAAAAATTTTTAATAGTGTTTCTTTTCCTTTTTGATGTAAATTTGCCAACATAATATAATGTATATTATCTATTCCCGGAGACGTGTTTTTCTTGTTCTTAAGACTTATTTCTAATTCGTATAAACTAAATGGCACTGAAAGTGGATGATTAGAGTTTTTACTTTCCATTACATTAATTTTTGAAAATATATTATCTGGACATAATTTTCTCAAAAACTCCTCAACCCATTCTCCTTCGATCACTGGATTTATTTGTGGTTTAAAGATGTTTTGTAAACGTTTGACTTGATTCCACATATTTTTTATTGGTGTATTTTTGTTTAAATTTTCACAAAAAATTTTCCATGCATTACGCTTACTTTTTAATATAACTTTTTTCGTTTCTGCTACACACTTATTATAATTTATATAATTTTGTATATTGGACTGTAACTTAAACTTGCGTAAAGCAAGTTGTTGTGCTTGAATAACCTTTTTACAATTGTCATTCCACCAAGTTTTCCTAAATCGTGGACTAGTCCCTGTTCTTTTCTCCGGTATGCATATTTTACAATATTCGTTTAATTTATTTAAAAATTGTTGGTAATCTAAATTATTATCGCATTCCATGAAATTATCAGTGATAGAAGAGAAAAGAGACCAGTCCGCTTTATTTATATTCCATTGGAATTTTGTGTTTACACATTCCGCTTTATTAACATTAATATTTGACTTTATAACAATAGCAAAATGATTTGATCCTAAAGTATTGTCCACAACATCCCAATCGAAACAATGACTAATATTTGCTGAGCATATTGTAAGGTCTATGGCCGATTTATTAATACTATTAGGTTTACGCATCAAAGTTTCTTTGCCGTTATTTAAAATTACGAGATTACAGTCCTCAATAGCTTCTAACAGATTTTTTCCTATAGTGTCTACAGTACTACAACCCCAAACATAATTGTGGCTATTAAAATCACCACCAATTATAAAAGGCTTCTCCATACTATTAAAAAACTTTTTCCATTCATTTACCGTAATTTTGAGATTTGGTTTTACATAAATAGAATAAATGTTAATCTTTTTACCGGTTTTAATTTTTATTGATATGCTATTACACATTACGTCATTGATTGGATGAAAAGTAGGAGTATTATCAAAATTAATTTTTTTTTTCAATAGTATGGCCACACCACCATATCCATCATCCCTATCATTCCTAAAGATATTATAACCAGTAAAGTTAATAAAGCTACTTTTCTTTAACCATGTTTCTGATATTAGTCCTATATCTATTTTATTGTCATATAAAAATTTTTCTAAATAACCCTTATTTGTTTTAATTGACCTTGCATTCCATTGAAGAAATGATATGCTAGCCATCACGATTTAATAATAATTGTAAAATATTGTTTTTCAGTAATTCTAACGTTTTTTCATCTAAATTGTGATTAATCTGATTTAAAGTTGTTGAAATAAAGTTTACTATAATTTCTCCT